AACCAATATATAATGATAAGAACGATAAAGTATCAAATGAATTAAAGCCACGGAGAAGCGAAAGAATAAAATGTAAACCTTCTGTTTCTTATGAAGAATTAGAATTAAATGATGATTATTTTATGTGCGCACAATCTGTAGTTTATAAAATTCCAAATTCATTTCAAGAAGTAAAATATAAAAATGACAGAGAAAAATGGGAAATTGCTATCAATGATGAAATTAATTCATTATTAAAAAGCAAAACATGGATACTGGTACCTGTTCTGAGTTGCTTGATATATCATTAGCTTAATATTTAGGGGTATCCTATCAAACTCAGAACGTTTCATTCTTACAATTTTTAAACGGATAATTTAGACCACATGAACGTCTCCACAACTTGACGTTCTTAACTTTGTCAATAGCCTTTTAACAGGCCAAAAAGGCACATCAGTCTAGTGTCAATATATCTTTCCTTAAAGAAGTTTATTTCCTTGATCCTAAACTGTGCATCCCTGTGGTGTGCAGTGTTTACGAAATCCTTGTCTACTCGGCGGTCCAATGCACTCGGATACGATCATTTGGCAGTCTCGCATGTTACCTAATTTCTTTGAAGGACCCAAGTCACTTGAGTGTTTGGGTCATCTCATTAACAAACGATATTTACAACCTTAGAGCGATGGCTAAAGGGTTCACGAACTCATTCGCTGAACCATCTCACCAATCACTATTTTTTTCAAATAACAAACTGTCTTGATTGGCCGTTTATGGTAACGTTTTCACGACTTGACCTTCCTATATTCCTTTCGTGTCTTGCAGTTTTTGAACTACACGTCAGTCTAAAACAATCTACGATGAAGTACACTAACCTTTACAAACATTCATTACACGAGAGTGCATTCGTAGCAAGTGGGATGGATAACATAATTTCCGTCGATCTGGTCACCTTTTAGAAGATCTGTGAGCCACGTCGAATGTACATTACAATCACAAGATTTGTAGCAAGTGGGACGGATAACATAGCTTCCGCTGATCTGATCATCTTTGAGAAGATGAATGTATGCAACTGATTTCACGACCAATTCATCATCAAACTGATTCCATCACGAATCCACAACTAAACTGTTTCCAATACATAGAAGAAACCCATCAATTTGTGGGATGATAATGTTCAATCTTCGTCTACCTGGACACTCCAGTGCGAAGAACTCTAAGCGACTATATAAATCCTATTTTACAACAATAATTCAACATTGTAGCGTACAGGAAAATATGTAAAGCGCGAACGAAAGAGTAATAACATTCATTGAGAATCAGACGTAGAAAACCATTAGAAATCCCTTAGAAATAGTACAGGATAGGGCGGAATATTATATAGCGTCGCGAATATTCTAGAAAAGGAAACGTTCTAGAAGAATCGAATTGTATCGCGAAGCGAGAGTTTGTCGGCTGCTCCGGGGAGCGAGAGGCAAGACGCGACCCGCGGACTTAGCGACGAGGTTGTGGATAACGCGACCGCGAGTTAGCAACAGGCAGATATAAAATAGAGGCAAGCGACAGGAGTTGACCTATTTGGCAGTCTGAGAAAGGACGAGGTACGGACTATCAGCCGCTCTCGGACTAGCCTTTTTTTTCTTTTGACCTGTGAAGAAGATCACAGCAAAGAATCTACTATCTTTTTTTTTTGTTTTTCTTTTTTTTTTGTTTAAGGAAGACAGAAATCCTATTACGGACACCTGGGAAGATAGCCTAGGTAGTGTGGAAAGACTCACACTTCCGGCGCTCCCCTAGTGGGGGCGGTTTCCACGCATACCCACTAAAACTGTCTCCCGCCCCCACCCCCCGGGGGGTGAGGGGTGGCGGTAACCCGACGAACTTCATCGTCGTTGGATATGTTCCACTCGCACTAGGCCGTCGAAAATGAGAAAAAGAGACTGAACCCCGTCTTCCGCGTGTGCTCTGCATGCAGAGAGAGGATGCCCTTACGCGGTGGCTCTTGGCCCAGGTGGTTTCGTCAAGTTCCTCGGGGAAGTCTTCGCGCGAGTGCTCCAACTTCCAGCTTCATCCTGTAACGCCACCCGCTGCCGTCTTCTACTGCGTCCGAACATACGGTCCTAAAACCGCGACCTCTCCCTACCACATCTCACCTACTAAATTGCTAATGCTCGATATTGCGTGTATGTTAGCCTAATTCCCCTCCCTCAAAAATTAAAAATTTCCCGTAACTTTACGCAACTATTCACGTCTCTATGTTTAACTAATATGGTCCCTAACCTTTTACTTCAGTCTCTATTTCCCCGAACGATGTAGTTTCAACTTCCTCTCTCCTGCCGATCCCGCTCGGTCCCCACTGTCGCTCACTAATGATGCCATGACCAGGCTGACACCGGTTTCCTCCCTTGCACGTTTGAGTCGTTTGATCGGTCGTGTCTGTGTTTTGTTTCTCCGCCTCTTCCACCCCTGCTCTTCCTTTTCTTCCTCTCGCTGTCTTCTCGCTTCTTCCCCTCCTCTTGCCGTTTGAAAAGCGCGCCATGCCTCCACCATCTTCCTTGCTGCTGCATCCTTCCGCTTCATCCTTTAGGACCGCTCTCCAAGCGCTTGTAGTGTTCCTTTCTCCGCCATGTTGGATATTCTCAATCCGGCCCCTTTGCTCCACCATCGTTGTTACTTCGGAGTTTCCAGGGTGCTGGAGCGTTTTCCGCTGCCCTTCCGACACTTTTCCGCCATTTTCCCGCTTTGCACTGCTTCCTCTGCACTCGCGCACGTGGTCACGTATATTCCCCTGTACCCGCAACACTCACAGCACTTCACTGCACTCCGATAACGCTTTCCCAACACTACACCGAATTAATTGTCTATCTGTTAATTATTTATTATTTATTATTTATTTATTAATCTACTAATCACTTCACTATTTATCAATAATTTATTAGTTAATTATTAATTAATTATTTAATATTATTATTATTAATCTCATTCACTTCATTTATTTATTAATTAATTACTTCCTTCCTTCACTTCGTTCCGTGTCGCCTCGCCTCTTCCTCTTCTGCTCCTCACTATCTTCTTGCTTCAACCTTTCCGCTTGCCATTTGAAAAACGCGCCATGTCTCCGTCATCTTGCTTCTTGCCGCGTGCCTCCGCTTCATCCTTAATTGCCGCGTGTCTCCGCTTTATCCTTAGGCTTCGTCCTTAAGGGGCGCTCTCCATGCGCTTGCGGCGATCCTTCCTCTGCCATGTTGGACGATTGCGAACCGGCCTTTACGCTCTACGCTTTCCCTCGTGTGGAAATGCCCACGTGTTCGTACGATATATCGAAGTTTGCTCGACCGACGCTATTATTTATTTATTATCAAATCACGAAAATACGAAAATAGGCAAAACTAATCACCGCGTGCATTCAATATGCCTCATTCGCCCTTTCCCCGCACTCTAAATCCCTACTGACATTTACATTATTTAATTTATTTAATTTCTGCGACTTTCTCTCGCAACTTCGACATGTCGCACGACCACGTGTTCGCGCAAGTCCTTCTTCGAGGGCAAATTTCACCCTTAAATTGTACTATTTTCACTCGCGATATATAAAAATAATCGTGTTTAAGTCGCGCACATATTTATTTTATTCCGCGGTCGGCCGAACACTCATTTCCTCGCTTTCGATTACTCATGGGTTTGCACCCCATGCTCTTCCTCGCGTCGCGTGGAGGTCGCCATTACCGAAATTTCGTTTTTTATTTATAAATTCATTATTTCACCTCCGATTTTCACAAAACTTCACCGCTCACTTCCCCCACGGTCTCCTCTCACTTCACATCACTATTTATCACACTTTAACCACTTTTTCCCACCAAAATTAAACTTTATCGCGGAGCGACCCCCGAACATGTGCACTCGCCACGATAGCCAGCCGTGCTCTCTCGCTCTCGGACTAGCCTAGGGACGCCTGAACGGAGATAAAGGTTTAAGACCCCGGCAGGAGAGTACGGCGATACCTTCCTGGACGCCTGCCTGGAGAATGGGGGGAGAGTACAGAAGTTTGTTCCTGGACACTCGTTCGACATGGAGAGTTCAGCGAACATGCCTGTCTATAGAGAGAGGACAAAACATCTCCAAGACGCCCCGAGGAGAATACAGGAGAGGACAAGAGGATACTCCTGGTCGCCCGTTCATTATGGAGAGTTCGATGAAAATACCTGGACGCCATTCGAACGGAAGAGAACAGAGTTACTCCTGGACGCCTGGTTGATTAGAGAGATTGAGAAACGTTTAAGTAGTCATGATGTTTGCGATGCGAAAAAAAAATAAAGAAAATTTGTTACCCCGTTTTTCCTGTACGATCTCCTTAATCTTGGAATTAATTCCTATTTTTCCAGAGAACCTTGATTTAGTACCGCTATGTCTCGCACCCCCGAGTCGTGCGGGTCGAAAATAGCTTGATTTAATCACTTGAGATTCCGTGTGGCTATGTCTCGTACCTCCGAACTCGATCAAATCAAGGCAGAAGAATTATGATATACGACTCAGTGAGGATGCTACGACTAGAGGAGATATAATAATTGTTATGTATTGGGAAACAATGAAAAAAAACACAACCACGAAAATGAACCCCAAAAAGAATAACCCTTCACCTTTATTATACTCTACTACAACAATTCTCTCCGCTCAACTCGCTCAGACATGTACAGTGTAGCTCGCTATCTCCCAGACTGACTTATATTACGCTCGCATCCGTTCCAATGAGGCGTCGGTATGTTAGGGCACCGACAATATCACACTCCCCCTCGTAAAGCAAACGAAATTGGTAACCTACTAAAATTTATCGTATTTCCAACGCGCTGGCGGTTTTCGATTCCTTGCCGGTTGAATGCGTAAGTCTGCAGGCGCCACTGCATTTTCCTCCGCTTGTCCCCCACCGGCCGCTGTATTTGCATCTACGTTACTGTTATCCAGGTTAAGAGTAGGTTTTTGAGTATCGATAACTGGTGGAGGAGGGTAATATTGCACCCTGTCCGCATCTATCGCAGGGGTTTTTGAGTATCGATAACTGGTGGAGGAGGGTAATATTGCACCCTGTCTGTATCTATCGCAGGGATATTTTCTCCGATTTTTAACATTTGATTTACATGTCTTCGTACAGTATTGCCATTATCTAATTTAATTTTGTAATGTAAAATACCTAGTTTAGATTCTACCTTCCCCAAAAGCCATTTGTTCTTTCCAACGTAGTCTCGTACACTCACTCTCTCTCCCACACGAAAAAATTTCTTGCATTCGTCGTGTTTTACATGAGCCGCAATTTGTTTGTACATAGGGTGTATGAAATCTAAATGCGAATTTACTTTTCTACCAAAAAATAGTTCCGCGGGAACTTTCCCTGTCTGTGAATGTACGCTTATTCTGTATTGCAGCAATAATTTGCATAGATTTTCGTGTATTGATTTATTTTCTTCGCATAGTTTCTTTAACCCGTTTTTTACCGTTTTAACCATGTTTTCCGCCTGCCCGTTTGTGGCAGGGTAGTATGGCGCTGTATATTTAATCGTACAATTTATTTCTCGCATGAAATACTTAAATTCACTAGATGTGAAGGTTCTACCGTTATCCGTGACAATGACTTTCGGCATTCCGAATTCGCTAAATATTTCTCTACAAACTAGGATGGTATTTTCTGATGACATTGTATTGACTATTCTTACAATAGGGAATTTCGAGTAAGCATCGACTAAAATCAAAAATGTTTTACCCAGGAATGGCCCGGCAAAGTCTATGTGTACTCTATCGAAAACATTTTCCGCTTCTTCCCAAACATGAGTATTGACCTTTGCTGGGTTATTCCTGTGCAGATTACAGGATGTACAATTTCTTACAAGGTTCTCAATATCTTTATTTATCGACGGCCACCATACAAGTTTGCGTGCTAAACTCTTCATTTTAACAATACCGAAATGTCCCCAGTGCAGTTCGCGCAGAATTTTTCCCCTGAGTTTTTCGGGTACAACCACTTTATCGTTACGCAAGATGACATCATTGCAAATTGAAAATTCTTCTACGTTAGCATTTTGTTTTTTTGACCGATTGCCCTGTTTTGTAATTTCCTTATAAATTTTTTGCAATTCTGTATCTGTTTTTGTGCATTCCGCGATCTCCTTCGCCGTAATAGGCAGAAGTTCCATCGACTCCAAGTAGAAAATATCCGCTACGTCATGTGTGTAGTTGTTTCCGATCTCTAGAGGTAGTCTTGACAGGCCGTCCGCATTAGCATTTTTCGCAGAGTTTTTGTACCGTATTTCGTAATTGTAGGCGCGCAAAAATAAAGCGTAATGTTGCATACGTAGTGCTGCGAATGTAGGTAGGTTTTTATCCGGTGAAAAGATACGCGTCAAAGCCTGATTATCCGTTATAAGAGTGAACTTAGCTCCAAATAAATATTGGTGAAATTTTTTAATGCCAAATATGATAGCGTAAGCTTCTTTATCAATATTTGCATATTTCTGTTGTGTATCGTTCAGTTTCTGAGAAGCGCATTGAATAATTCTCTCTGATCCGTCGGGATAAGCGTGCGAAAGGACTGCGCCCACCCCATAACTGCATGCATCTACAGCTAAAATTAATGGCAACTGCGGATCATAATGTGCCAAAATTTTATTTTCACAAAACGCTCGTTTAGCCTGGGTGAACGCGTCTTCGCATTGCCTATTCCAGTTGAAAGGTACGTTATCTTTTAATAGGTTGTGCAAAGGATGTAAGATTGCCGCCAAGTTTTTTATAAATCGTGCGTAATATGTAACAAAACCCAAAAATGCACGTACTTCTGATTTGTTTTTCGGTTTAGGCATATTTTCTATTGCCGCGTATTTTTCCGGATCCTTGTTAATTCCGTTTTTATCAACTATGTACCCGCAGAAATGAATCCTATTTTTGAAAAATTCACATTTCTCTAGATTGATTTGAATATTATAATCATGCAATCGTTTGAAGATTAAATCTAATTTTTTAATGTGCTCCTCCTTAGTACGGCTTGCAATACGAATGTCATCGAGGAAAATTTTAAGACCATCTATGTCGCGAAGGATTTCTTCTATAGTACGTTGCCAAATAGCCGGAGCGGACGCTATACCGAACATTAACCTTGTAGGTTTGTAAAGACCGCAGTGAGTCGCAAGTGTAAGCAAGCTTTGTTGCTCTTCGCATACTTGTAATTGTAAATACGCATGTTTTAGGTCGATTTTCGAAAATACCGTCATACCCGACATACGGTCATAACATGAGAATAATTCTTCGAGTTTGGGTAAAGGATATTCGTCAACTAGTAAATTTTTATTAACGGTGACACTATAATCTCCGCAAATGCGGACTGTTCCGTCTTTTTTTAACGATGGAACTATAGGCGTCGCCCATTCAGATGACTTAACCGGAATTAGGATTTCTTTAGATACCAATCTATCAAGTTCTATTTTAATCTTCTGTTGCATTTTGAATGGAACCGTTCTATGTTTAATGAAAATTGGTTTAGCATTATCTTTAAGTGTAAATTTTGCCACGTATGATTTTATTGGTAAGTTACAGACCTAGTCTCGTTACTTTTGTGTCACACCTCGTATGATTTTATTGGCTCTACTCTATCGTTCGTAATGTCGTATTTTCGTAATAAATTCAGTATAGCTTGCTCAACGGTTCCCGTGTATATCGAGTTAACCTCAGTTTCTTTTGTTTTGATGAATTCGAAACTTCCTGTGTTTACTAGTTCACGAATCCACTCCCTCCCAAGTAACGGTTTACAATTTATCCGCACGATGTACAAATTCAATTTCGCTGACTGTCTCTCGAATTTTACCTGAACTTTTATGTAACCCACCGTATCGATTGGGTCTTTGTTGAATGATTGCAATATTATATTAGAATTATGTACCTTACTTTTAGGAAAAAGAATTTTCGCTTGTTCCGTACTCATTAGACTCACTGCGGCGCCCGTGTCCACCTCGAAGTCCACCGGATGGTGATCCACCTCCACCTGTATGATGAACTTCTCCCTCGCTGAAACCGTGTCGACTACGCAAATTTCTTCAACTGTATGCGTGGCTTCTTTCTTCTTTGCAAAACAGACCCGAGACAGGTGTCCCTTTCTATTGCAAAAATTGCACTCCACATTTTTGTTTAGCGAACACTGACTGGCGTAATGTTCTTTTCCGCAACGGTAGCACTTAACGTTTTTCGACTGTTTATTTTTACTTGTATACTGTTCGTGTACGTAGGCATTAGGACCTTTAGCTAGCTGCTTGGAGTTTTTATGTACCGGATTTGTAGAGTTCGAACTTCTTCTTTGATGGTTTCTTCGTTGTTGATTTGATTTGTAGCGGTTTTCGTCCGAATTAATGTACTGGATTTTTTCCACACTGGTACTGGTATTACGCAGCTGAGACGTACTGCTTTCTGCTAATTCCATCGTAATAGCTGTGCTAACGGCTGTATCAAAGGTCAAATTTTGCGTTTCCAGGAGCCTAGCCTGGATGATTGGACTGCGAAGTCCTGCTATTAGTTGAGTGCGTAACGCCGTTTTCAAATATGACCCGAAATTGCATTTAGCGCTTAATTTGTGTAAATCGTTAACAAATTCCCGTATCGATTCATCCTCTCGTTGTTTTCGTTGTTGAAATACGAAGATCTCTGCAGCTTCCAAGGGTTCTGGTTCCAAGATTGTTTTGAGACACTCTTTTATTGTATTAAGCGGAGTAATGTAAGGATTGGCGCCATCCATAGCGTTCCCCAGTTTCGTGTACGTATCAATACCTATGTATTGTAGTAAGTAGGATCTTTGCTTCGTTTCCGCTGTAATTTCAAACGCAGCAAAAGCGCCTTCCAATCTTTGTAGCCACGTGCTCCATTTATGTTTCGCCATATCGTACATCTCAATTTTGAACGAGCCTGGAATTTCTGCCATTCTTTGAGCTGCTAATGCCGCAGTACTTTGTAAATTTCTAACCGCTGTTGTACTCTCCGTCAACTTCAATTCCGGGTTCTTCGCGTCTTCTTCCGTCGTGATCTTTTCTTTTTTGCACGGGTTTCTCGCATTCATTAGCACTATTAAGTCGATCGTTCTAATCCACTACGCCTTCCTCACGTGAGAAAAACGTTTTTACTTCTCCCACACAAAAAAAAAATAAAATAAAAAAGAAAAATCCTGTCCTCGTCGCCACTTGTTATGTATTGGGAAACAATGAAAAAAAACACAACCACGAAAATGAACCCCAAAAAGAATAACCCTTCACCTTTATTATACTCTACTACAACAATTCTCTCCGCTCAACTCGCTCAGACATGTACAGTGTAGCTCGCTATCTCCCAGACTGACTTATATTACGCTCGCATCCGTTCCTATGAGGCGTCGGTATGTTAGGGCACCGACAATATCACAGGTATAATTCTTGTGGCGTGAGGGGCTTCACCCCCCACACGAGTTGTTCACGGAAACGCGCAAATCGGTCGGTAGGTGGTGGCGCTACTTAGGCGTCGGGTCCCATCACCCGCTAAAGTCGAAGGGTGGACATCACCGAGGCGTTTTTAGTGAGTAAGAATCTCACACTCTCCCCGCTTCTCCCCCGGGGAGGGGGGTCTATGAAGATTTCCCCTCGGAAAAAAAGACGTGTAAAACTAACGATAGGGACAACGGAGGTCTCCAAGCAGGCGACGAGGGGGTGCCCACAAGGCTCTGTCCTTGGTCCCAACTGCTGGAACCTCCAATTTGATGATCTGCGATCAGTAGAAACAGAGTTCGGTGAATGCTACGTCGCCTACGCGGATGACTTTCAGGTCATCGTGAGCGACGACAGTAGACGGGAAATCGAAGAAAAAGGGCAACGGATCGTAAACCATATTCTAGATTGGTGTAGCAAAGCCAAACTGGAGATCTCAGCTCGCAAAACTGAGGCAATTGTGCTCAAGAGCGGCTGGATCCAAAGAGCGGCAATAGGTAGACGGGGAGGATAGCGTCTGGACCGGAAACGAAAAGCTACCCGCTCTACCAAAGCGGATCTAGCAAACAGACTACCGACCATCCGAATAGGGAATATCAGCATTAAAATTAAGCGATCGATTAGGTACCTCGGCGTCCATTTAGATAGTGGCATGGGTGATCGCACCCACTGCCAATACCTGAGCGATAAGGTCGGATCGCTCTTCCAAAGACTAGGTAGGCTGGCGAGATGTAAATGTGGACTTCGCTTCGGCGTTCTCTCCGTGATTTACAGGGGGGTGTTCATTCCGGTGGTGGCGTATGCTGCCTCGGGGTAGGCGGATCTCTACACGGAGAGAGAGCTGAGTGTGCTTCGTTCGGCGCAGCGGCGAGTCCTGATCTCGATCACTGCGGCTTACCGCATGTCATCGTGGGAAGGCTTGTTGTGCGTCGTGGCCGGCGTCGTCCCGGTTGACCTCGCGCTGGACTATTTGAATAGGGAACACAAGCATCAAATTTAAACGTTCGGCTAGGTACCTAGGCGTCCACATAGATAGCGGTATGGGTGTTCGCACTCACTGCCAATATTTAAGCGAAAAGGTCGGTTCGCTATTCCAAAAATTAGGTAGGTTAGCGAGATGTAAGTGGGGGCTTCGCTTCGGTGCCCTCTCAGTGATTTACAGAGGGGTGTTCATCCGGGTGCTGGCCTACGCTGCCTCGGGATGGGCCGATCTCTGCACGGAGAGGGATCTGGGCGTGCTCCGGTCGGCACAGCGCCGAGTCCTGATCTCGATGACCGCGGCTTACCGCAGGTCACCGTGGGAAGGCTTGTGCGTGGTGGCCGGCGCGGTCCCAGTTCATCTCGCTTTACAGCAACATAGGGCCCTCTACAGTCTTCGTAGAGGAAAAGACGCCAGGATTGAAAACACCGTGATCCCTGTGACAGAGGAGCAGCCAAAAGACCGCATAAGAGAAGAGGTATATAATGTGTGGCAAACCGCGTGGACTTCTTCCCACAAGGGTCGCATAACCTATGCCTTTTTCAGTGACATTCGGGAGAGAATGGCTGCGCTGTGGGTGAAGCCGAATCACTACTCCACGCAGGTTCTCACCGGACACGGCAAATTCATGTCACGTCTTAGAACGTGCGGAATTGCCGACGGGGAGGACTGTGTGTGTGGTGCTGAGGCGAACACAGTAAGTCACTTCATTCTCGAGTGCTCATTATTCGAACCGCAGAGAATAGCACTCCGTGACTTCTTCACGGTCGAAGAGTGGAGATGGCCGGAGATGGCACACCGATTCGTGTCATCCCCAGAGGCCTTTGAAATCTTAGACCAATTTTGCCGCAAAACACTATGGATGAAGGGGATCATGGTGCATGAGCTCTTGCAGGTGCAGCAGGCCGCCCGCGAATTAGCAAATTAATCGAACACATTACTTTTCAGGAAACGTAGATAGTAGATAAAGTGTGAAAGAGAAACGAATGTGTCGAGTGAACGTATGCAAGAGAAGAATGAAACAAAACCCCACCCCAACTCTCATCCCCACTTCCCGTCGCGTAAACAGGGTCTCGGCGTGCGTACAGGCGTGTACGCAGCGAATCCGCCTCCCCGTGGTTCCCCGTGGACACCGGTCACCGACAGTGATTGGTACCGTGACCAAAGGATTCGCTCGCAGTAACGGCCCTGCGACGCCCTGGATTTTTCCGAGACCGTTTCTTTGACGGAGGCCAGCGAAAGTGGAAGGAAAATTTATTTTGCGTATGCCCGTAAGGGCGAGGTAGCAGATCCGCAGCCTTGTCCAGCAGGATTGGATTAACAATAAATCTGACGCCGTTCTACTGCTCTATAGTTTGCCTAGTTCGTTCGAAAATTTTCGAGTGGCTATCGAGTCCAGAGACGAGTATCCGACGCCCGAAGCTCTTAAAATAAAAGTATTAGAACAGAGCGATGCGCGAACTAATAAGGCAAACGAATCCAGCAATAGCGCGATGTGGATCCGAAAATCGGCCAAGCCAGACAAGTCAAGCACAGTGCAGAGAAATCGCTGTGATACAGCAATAGGGCCAAATAAAAATGCATAGGAAATCCAACAGCTACGGTGTTTTCGCTGCAACAAGATGGATCATCAAACTTCGGAGTGCCGCGGATTGTTCCGCGAGCAACGGCGATCAACTGCGGGGATGGCTGAAGAGAATTTTTCAAACAGCAGTAGATTAGGAGCGAAGGAAATCGCTTTCCAGGCCTACCTAATTCTAACGAATTTCGCTTCGAACGACGGATATATCCGTCATCCACATGAAAACCCGCGGAGCCGAACGCCGGATATATCCGACATTCACATGATCGCCCTCTGGAGACGAAAGAAACAAAAAGCGAATCGTTCATAAGGATCGCATTAGGAGGGCCCACCTACCAATGGAGGATCAAGAATCGATAGAAAGATGAGCATGCGCGCAAACAAGGGTAGTGTAATTCAAATTTACCGCGCTTTACTTTGCAATAGCGAATAACGTCAGAA